TTTCCTCCAGCCACCGTCAGGTGCGCCGGTGCAGGTGTGGAGCAGGTAAGGAGATGGGTTGTGGTTTTGCCAAGTGACTGCAAAGGAACAGAGAGGGACCAAAAGAGGTGAGGCTACGTACAAGGCAGCGATCACAGGGTTATAGTCATTTGAACTTGCGTATCACATTGTAAGTCAAAGTTAGAGATTTTGTAAAAACTACGGATGACATTTAAGAGTATGTTTTGTGCCATATGCATTCATTCATTCACAATTAACATGATCCTTCCTGTAGTTATTCAAAACTGAGGAACACCCAATCTTTGGGCGGATGTGCCTACAAAAAGCTAGTACTGCTCATCCTACTGGTGAGATTGGTTTTTGGAGCCTGGGAGATCTGGATTTTAATTTCAGTCCTATAACAAGCAAATTGGGTGGCCAAGGGCAAGTTCCTTAACCTCCAAGTCTCTTCATCTCTAAAATGGGACGTGGATACTTACCTGACAAGGTACGTACGGAAAGCACAAAGCATGTTGAGAGGCACACAGCTTGGGCTCATGAGCTGTTGTTATGTCTGAGCTCCACATTTAAACAACTGTGGTCTGAGGTCCAAATGTGTCTCTCAGCTGAAGACATGAACAGGACATGCTGGAACACACAATTCTTGCATCTCTGGATCCAATTTCTGGACTAACTGAGTGCATGTGGCATGACCTTTAGCAAGTAAATCATTGCTTCTATGCTGGACAGTCCAGTGAATCATAAACACGCCAGTTCTCCAGAAAGCTCATTGGTCCAAGAAGTGGCGGACGGAAGGGGCCCACAGTTCCCCCATTCCGCGGCCAGCAGACCTTCATGCAGGCAGATATGGGAGTCTCTGGTGTCCCCTGGTCATGTTGAGTGGTCCTCGTGGGCACAGTCACATCCTAAAGAAATCACTGGAGAGTGGGCTGGGTGTGCAGGATTGAGTGGAGAAGAAAGACACAAATTGGCACAGTTTTACAGCAAGAAAATTACACAGTCAGTGATTTTTTATTAAACTGCCCCAGCAGACTTCTCACCTGAGGCTCAGTGCTCAGGTGGTGCCGAGGAGGGCATGGGGTCTCTGGCATCCCCAGCCCACTCCCTTCTCCCTCGCCTCCCTCAGAGAAGGTGCCCTTGCTAATGGCCTACCAGCCAGAGCACTCACCTCTCCCTCCTGTCAGCCTTGCAAAGACTATGCTGCCCAAAGCAGCGTACCAATCATTGACAGTGAGGAGGAAGCCACACATAAAATGACCTCCACACATCAGGGAGATGGGACGGAAGGGAAAGGAAGAAAGACCGGCAAAGCACGAATGGAAGAGTCCCCAGGGATGTTTTGTTTTGTCGTTGCTTTTTTTAATACCTGGTTTATTTTTGAAAACATTCCAAAATATATGTATTGAGCCTGCACTCAGAGCCCAGCTTTACGCAGACAGCGAGGTCAAGCAGAGGAAACACGAAGCATGAAGCCATTTCCTCCCCCCAGGAGATGGCAATCGTCGGCAAGACGTGAAATGTGTAGAGTAGATGCTGAAAGCCTAAGGAGATAGGGAAGGAAAACGGTGTCCGGTGGAGTCACAGGGAAAGGCTTCCTAGGGGAGCAGGGCTGTTTCTCTCACCAAGAGGGAGCAAGGCTAGTTTAAAGCTTCACACACATACCTCTCGGAGCTGGTCAACTCTTGTTTCGGCCATTTGCATTTCTGGCAGAGTCCAAACTTCTCCTTTATGGACAAAAACATCCCAAGTGATTGCACAGTTAACTTTTTACCCAAATGTTCTGACACGGAGCAGACATAACTTACCTCAAGCCCACCACCTGTAGCATCTCCAGCAGAGATGAGTTTATGCTCTCCAGGCCTAGTCCCATTCACAGCAAGCCAGACCTGGGCAACCACTGAGATGTCCGGCCCAGAGCGGGCTGCGCTTGTGCAGCCCAAGGGGGCATAAAAGCCCCTGCGCAACACACTGTCAAGCAGCTACAGTAATGTGAGGGGTGTCCGCAGAAGGTAGGGGCCCTGGGAGTGGAGGTGGGAGAACAGGGGAGTCCATCTTTCTGATTCCTGTGCTCCCCACACATACTTTCTGAAGCAATCATCAGTCTCCTAGTCTAGAGGCTGAAGCTATTCCTAACAATCTTCCCCCAACTGTTATTGTTTTTTAAAATATGAGAACAAGGGCCATTGGAAACAACAATATTTCTATTATTAAACTCAGCTTTGAATTAGGAAGCGTTTTCTTCCCAACTCTGCGAGGGGTCCCAGGGGTCCACCTGGGTGAGGTGAGCATGTTACAGGGCGTTGCTGTTCGCAGGGCACAAGCGAGTGAAGAACGTGCAGGTCTGGCTGTGAATAATCTCCCTCCCAGGAGGCAGCCACCTGAAGCCTGAGGTGACAGGCTGCAGAAAGGGCTTGTGCCCAGGACAGTCATCCCTTCCAATCCCCTTCACCTGTCGGAGTGCAAATTTCTTTTCAGGGAACAATCCTTTCATTTCACAATAAGAGAGAAATCCTGCAAGAAGAATTAAAGAAGTAAAGTTACTTTCAAATGCCATCCTGAGAAAGGGGTTAGCCCACCTTTCATGAGAGGAGGAGAAGAACTCACAGAAAGAAACAGGTCACTTCTTGGTCTAGGACCAGTTCTGGTCCTGGTGTCATCTCCCATCATGGACAAAGCAGAGTAAAAGGACACACCCTCTTTGTGTCTCTATCGTTTGCCTTGGTCTCTTCAGATGACCCTGTAAGGCCTCAGATGGAAGTGAGCTTTGCATTGAGGTACATTTTGCCTGGCTGTGGCACTGGATCACCCAGTGGTTATCAACCCTGCCTGCTCCTTATAATCACCCGGGAGCTGTAAAAATTCCTGATGCCTATATCCGCCCCAGAGATGCCCACGAACTGGCCTAGGAGGTGGCATTGGGCATTTGGGTTTTTTAAGTCTCCCAAGTAATTCTAATGTTCAGTCGAGGTTGAGGGCCCCTTGGCTAACCCGAGGCAGCACCTTGTACACAGCCTCAGGTCACGTGCCCTCTAATTCTCAAATTTGGCTGCCAATAAAAGCCAAAGGAAGCTTTTAAGAATCTGACTGCCCCAGTCGCGCCCTAGTTCAATTCAATCAGAACCTCTGGAGGTGGGATCCGGGCACCGGTGTTTGTGAAAGCCCCTTGGGTGATTCTAACGCACCATCAGGGTTGCAAACCCACAGAGCAGGAGACACCTCTCACTCCCCTGAGCTCCGCCTGAAAACTAAAGGCAGAGGCAATTGGTGAACGGAGGCAAAGGCCTTCTTGAGCCCTAACATCTAGGATTCTGGGGGAAATTGGCTCTTTTCCGATAAAGACAACCAATTCTGCTAAAATGCTAAGAAATACTGCTCTGGAGTTTGTAGACTCCTTCCCCATAATGGAGCGGGAAAACAGAGCCGCCCGCTCCGCCCGCCAAGGCCCCCCCTTCGCACATGGAGTTGGTCAGCCAACAGCGGCGCCTAGCGCACGGCCTGGAAGCCTGCCAGGCTCTGCTGTGGGGGTGCAGAAACCTAAACCGTATTTATCCCAGCCCCTGAGGAACTTGTGGTATAGATAATAAACGAGTACAGAGAATGCAACATTAGAGCAACACTCGACCCAACCGGCTCATTCCAGGCAGTGGGAGATCCCTACCAGTGAGCTTTTCAGGAAATGTCTTTGTATTGAAGATGTTTCCTTTTTATCACTTGGGATAGAAAGCCTTCTAAAATGCTTATGCAGTTCCCTGCTTTCTTCAACAATGGATATCACTGGACCCTTTCTTGATGGCCCCAGGGCACCATGACCACAAAGCAGAGCTGTAGTGTGGGGTTATGCAAATTGTGCATAGCACAACTCCAGGAGGCACTACTTACCTCGAAATCTCACAGCATTTTAGTTAGTTGTCCAGTGTTCTGGGAGATCACAATCCAGTGTCTTCAAGAAGCTGTGCCTTTTTCTGTCGGTGGGTAGCAGGCTTGCCAGTCATTTCTGCACAGTGCTCTGGTGCCCCGAGGGGCTACGTGGGTGGGCGGCACTGTCTGCTCCCAGTCTGATACAATCCTGGAGAGCTGCCATCTGTGACTATTCCTACATCCTATAATCTAGTGTCTTCTCCTTCACGTGACCTCAGTCAGGTCCTAATTCTTGCTACCTCCTTTACCAGAAGCAGCCCATCTATCTTCTTCCAGCAACCATTTCTCCAGGCACCAGGGAGGAACACCATTAGCAAGTCATTGACTTGGTCCCAAATGCATTTCTAAGTCAGCCGGCCCCTGGGGGAAGCCCTGAACTTGGCCCCACACACCCCTAGAGCCACATGTCACGCTCTTGTCTTCTTTTACTTTGCCGTCTGCATCCAGATTCTCGGCATCTATGTTCCAGAAAGCTGGGGAGGAGCCAGAAGTCCGAGCCTCTGATTAAAAGGGTTGTCAATAAATAGAGGCCAGCACTTCATACTGATAAAGTGCTAAAATGGACAGTGCAATAAGGGAACCATGTTACCAGGGAACTCACTTGTTGAATTTGAGGGGTTTTTGTTGTTTGCTCATTTCTGTTTTATTTTATTTTAATGTAAATTACCCCCCCCCACACACACACACGGTGCCAAAAAATAAATACACATTTTAAGACAGGAAAAAAACTGTATTAAAATTGTAATACTCAATATATACTGATGACAAAAGATGAATACAAGTCGTGTATACATTTTTTGGGCACCCCCGGTATATATACATATATATTTCCCCCAAAATAACTTTCTGGGATGATTCCTATGAGCAGCCAGGTTTGCAATCACTGATCTGAAATAGTACCATCGGACATGTGTGGGAGCTCTCTGGGACACACCAGGGCAGTCTGTCCCCTCTCCCGCTTTATGACCACCACCACTTCAAGTTCGGTCCCTTTCAAGACTGGCTGGCTAACCGCAACATGACCAGAGGGAGAAGGCCGGAGCCCGCACAGCGCCTGCAGCTCATGCTTTGGTTTCTTGCAGCCGTGCTCTTCCCCGCTGCCCATCGGCCAAAGAGATCTTCATCCGTGCCCTTGAATCCTGTCCTGCAGAGCTCCCTGGAGGAAGTAGAACTGCTCTATGAGGTAGGCAGAGGTGAGAGTGGTCAATTTACGTCACCCCAAAGGCACTGCAACTTTTCTGTTTTTTGGAGGAGAAGTGACCTGAGCCCCTAGAAATGGGTGACCTCTGCTGGTATAGGGACTGGCGTAAACCAGTGTGTGGAGGGCATTGAATCCTGCCCGTCCCAAAGGAGGGCACCCTTCGTCCCTCCTCTCCTTTCGCACATGCCAGAGTGATGGCATGAGGAGGAGGTCAGCGGAGGCAAAATTAGAGATTTAGGTTTGGTCCCCAGGTGCCACTCCCACCCCCCAAGCAGAAGAGTGAGGCAGCAATCTCAAGCAAAGTCTTCGAAGCCAGATGCGTCAGTAGTGTTCAGGCAATGCCAAGCCAGTTGTCTGAGTGGAGCCGTGTCTCCAGTAACTACTTACTGTGACAGTCCAGCTTCTGACTGTCCCAAAGGCTCTCTTCCTCTGCCTCTCGCATCTCCGACACTCAGATCTCACTTCTCCTCCAAACCACACATCAATTTCCCAAGGCCAGATTGGTTTGTTTCAGGGGTAAAATTCCAGGTTCAAGACCGGAGCTTTAGTTCCAGCTCTGCCCCCCATCAGCTACGTGACCTGGCATAAGCCACCATGTCTTTCTGGGCCTGAATCCTCTCAACTATTCAATGAGGGACTACAATGATCTTGAAAATTCCCCGCCTGCCTTCACATGGCCTCTGGCATCCTCCATGTTCTAGAATTATCTGGCTAAGAAAGAAAGAGACAGCCTGCTGCAGCCAAGCAGTTGAGCCAGGGAGGAGATTTCAAATCCTGCTCTGGGAACAAACTGAAAAATGCACAGCCTTTGCCAAGTCTCGAATGTGGAAGTCATCTGAACAGATCCGTTTTAGAAAAATAACAGACAGTAGCCGGGAGATGGATTAGAGTTTGGGAGAAGCTGGAGACAGAGAGAAAAGATAGAACCCTGAGTCCAAGAGATATTAGGTTCCTGGCCCTGAGCAGGGGATGCAAATGGCAGGCTCCGCCCCCTTCTCTTAAAGAACAGGCGAGATGTGAGGACAAGTTTCTGTATCCCGCTTAATTACTAGTATACTTCTCGGCATCCTTCAATACCCAGCTTCTGACTTAAAGTTATCCAAAAATCCATCAGTTCATGCTTTCGATCGTTGCTGGGTGGGAGGGGGAAAGCGGAAGGAGGGGTTGGCCCAGCACAGTAGGAACAATAAGTAGCAATGAAATAGTGGCTTTGTACCAGGCACAGTGTCAGATGATGTCCAGATTTGTCTTATTTACTTCTCACAATGTCCCAGCGAAGTATTTTTATTACTAGTTATTTCACAGAGGAGGAAAAGGTGGCTCGGAGAAGTTAGCTAACTCATCCAAGGTGGACACCGTTAGTGGGGAAGTCAGAGCTGGAACCCAGGTCTCTTGGATTCCAAAGCTCTTTCCGCGGCCGCCTCCCTAAATGCACGCACGTGACAATAAAAACAGTGGTGACCTCAACCATGCCCCGATGCTTCATGCCTCTCTCCATCTCGCGTTTCTCACCAGTTCCTGCTAGCTGAGCTTGAGATCAGCCCGGACCTGGAGATCTCCATCAAGGACGAGGAGCTGGCCTCCTTGCGGAAGGCTTCCGACTTCCACGCCGTCTGCAATGACGTCATCCCCAAGCGAGTCCCCGACATCCGCAGGCTGAGCGCCACCCTCTCCAGCCACCCTGGCGTCCTCAAGAAAGAGGACTTTGAAAGGACAGCGCTGACCCTGGCCTATGCAGCCTACCGCACAGCCCTGTCCCAAGGGCATCAGAAGGACATCTGGGCCCAGTCCCTCCGTAGCCTCTTCCAGGCCCTGAGGCGTGACTTGATGCGGTCCTCAGGCTCCTGAGTGTCTCCCTGAGAGGCTGGCCCGCACCAGCAGGGCCCAGCACACACAGTAATCCAGAAATTCTTCATTTTCAGAGACCAGCAGCAAAACATGTGCCACCCGCTCAGAGTAGCAGAGATAAAATAATTAAGCCCCATATGCTCTTTGCCCCTTGTAGCTTCCTGACAAAGCACACCTGACTCATGTCATACATAATGGGATGTGGGCTGGAAGACAGGGCTGGAGTGGTCATTCAGGATGACTCCAGAGGCCGAACGGTTTGCCTGGTGACATGCAGAGTCTAAGATACGCTTCAACACTGAGTGACCGCCACGAACACCCGAGAGTGAGGACAGAACTGGAAGAGACATCATAGAGGTTTGAGCACGGAGGGAAGATGGGGGACAGGTTGCTTTTGTCCTAAGAGATCAGGGTGCTGGGTTGAATGAACATCTTTTGGAAGGTTGGGTAGTAAAATAGAAATAAGCTAGAGCGACAGCCAAATAAACATATTGTTAGCCAAGGATATACTTCTCAACTTTTCCGAAGGTCACTGAGAAAAATCAGTTAGAAAATGGGTACTTTTCTGGCCTATATGTCTTGCCTCTTCCTATGTGAAGGCTGGTCTAATACAGAGGAGAAACATGAAATGCCACAAAAGGTATGCCTGTCTTTGGAACAGAGAAACCAAACTAATGCAGAGAGGGGTCACCCTAACGAAGGGGTGGCACCAACGGCCATGCCTTTCTATCCTAACGCTAAAATTATTTAGCATCGTCAGAGAATTAAGCGCTCCAAATAAAATCCTAAATAATTGTCAGATGACAGGATGTTTTACCTTTTCAAATGCCAAATTTTCATTTTAGCAATATTGACTTGATACCTTTTGAAACTATACATACGAAATGCCTTCCAGCTTTTATTTTGTAATTTTGAAACAGTCTAATGAAGGAGGTGGATAACATAACCTCTAAGATGCCTGGACTTCTGAAATTTCCACAGTCATTTACCTAAATGTACGGTATTACAGGGAGGACACCTGGACCTAAGAGGGTCTGCTGGACTATTGGTACCAACACTGGAAGGTCCTAGGCTTTGCTAATTCTGTATCTGGTGTGAGTTTTTCTGCTGCTTTCCTCACAGTCGGGCTATAACAGGTGCATTTTCTTTGTGAGCAACATCACTTGCCATTTCCGTTTTGTTCTTTCTTAGCCGCCATCACCTAAAAAACAAGCTAGCTAGGCTTGTTATAATGCTACATTAAATAAGAGTTACTAGGTGAAGGCCACTGCTAGGAAGGAAGCACTGGGTTCTAATACAGATTCCTCACCAGTTCAGAGGTCTCGCTGGCTTCTCCTAGGTTTGCAGATGGGTTCTGAAGCCAATGTAGCAAGTAGTCTGATCTTTGAATGGGTGAGGATTCAGTGGGCTAAGTTTGATTCCGAAATGGGTATTTAACAATTGTCATTTGAGGATGACAAGAGCTGGTCTGGACTTCTGTAAAATCTTTGTACAAGTGAGCTTTGCCTAGCAGCACAAGCCGTGCAATCTTTTTGGGGAAATACTACAATGCACGAAGAAGGTATCAAAGAAAACTACAGCTTTGCTTTCTGATGTTCTCAGGCTTGGAACATTGATAACGCACTCTCTCTCATTCTTATTCCCTGGTGATACTGCTCCTTTACCTCCCTTAAATGCAGGCTGTTAGATGCTTTTTTGTTCATTTTTTGTCTTTCTAATACTACATGTTCTCTTGGTCACTCTGCTGGTCTCTGTCTTTTTTTAAATTTTAGTTGGTGTCTCTGCTGCTCTATCTGTGGGTCTGATTCTGATTATCTTTGCATCCATGTCTCGAGGCAGCTCCAAATCTCTTGTGGTTGACATTTGCTCGCTCTATCTCTGCCGACCCGCATTCATACTCTGACGCACACTCACTTTCGGTCTCCTTTGGGTATCGCTGTCTGACTAAAACAACAGGTAGGCTGGGGATTGCCCAGAAGGCAGATCAGTCTCACAATCTACCTTCACTCTTTGTACTTTCCCTTAATGGGGGTTCAGGAGGAGGGATCAATAGAGGCCTCAGTCCCTACACACTGTACAATAAATATCCTGGTGTTTAGGGTCTTGCATCCCACCCTGTGATTCCATCCCATCAGAAGGGATCTCAGAGCTTCCCTTCAGTCACCAGCTGGGAAGACCCACCCCAGTAATTCCTGCCTCCCAGGCCGTGATACCCATGGCTGCTCCAGAGTCAGCACATCCATGAGTGGAAGGGTGGCTCCCAGACCAGTGACAGCAATGGTCATTCATTCACCCTGCAACAAAAAAATTAAAGGCACTTTTGTGCTCATAAATCAGGGCCCATGCTTAGGTGGCAATCTAGGACTGAAAAAAAAACAAAAACAAAAACAAGAAAGGCATGACCTCTTTTAAAGACAAATAAAAATTTTATTTTCAGTAACTAGATACTTAAACACTATTTTAATCTGAGTGCAAATTGCTCGCCCACAAAAAGCTTTATAACAATGGCTTCATTTATGTGCAAAATCAAATATTAAGTTCATGACCGACACCTAGAAACTTAACTCTCTGCCCAACCAACAGGCAAGTAAAAAGACTGGACAGAAAAAGAATCTTCCATTTTGCCTGATTAATACCACACTGTACATACTGCAGTCCCAACGGAGTCCCTTTTTATCATATTTACTCATAAACAGAATAAATTTGGGGTGGGATGTTTGTAGTGGAAACTTATGTGACTTATGGAACCAATTCTGCCATTTCTATACTGCTGGGAAATTTGAAGATCTATAAATTCTAAAAGTTTCCTTTATAGTTGGCATCCTCACAACTACCTCTGATGTCACTCAAGAGACACTGAAAAACATCTCTGTGCTGAAACTCTCATTGCCCTGTCATCTCACCTTGAATCCAACTAAAAGAGTACCACAAACTGCTAAATCAGTCAGAAAGTATCCCCACAGGTAAACTGGTCTAAAATCAAATGCTTGTTGAATGACTTTCTATGGCACCCTTACTCTTCTAACCCATTTTAATGTTTTGCTTATTATTATTATTATTGTGGTAAAAAAGCACAACATGAATTTACCATCTGAACCATTTTTAAGTGGACAGTACAATCATGTTGACTATATACATACTGTTCTGTGTTCAGATCTCCTTTTCATCTTGCAAAAATCATAGGTATGAAACAACAACCCACTTTTTCCCCCTCTCCCCCCAGCCCCTGGCACCTGCCATCTACTTTCTTTTTCTAAGAGTTTGACTACTTTAGATACCTCATATAAGTGGTATTTGTCTTACATTTCTTAAGCCTTGTATTCTGGAAAATGTTTTCTTCATCTGAAAAATGGATAAGAGTCCTGAAGAACTACTGGTCTTAATGTGTCATTCACCTTCCCTAATTTTATTTAACAAATATTCACTAATGGTGTAATAAATACGACATGATCGAGTTACTAGGCTCTGTGGAATCTTTGTTATCTCAGATTATCTCACCAAGGAATTTTGAAGTGGTTCATGGATTTAACGGTAATGTTGATTTCCACAGCTCTTTATTATTTATCCAGTCTCTTTTAATATTTGCCACCAAAACATCGTACGTGCAGTATTGTTCATGCTGAGTTTCAAAATCATCACCAAAATAAGGTCTGAATGTAGTAAACAGCAGCCAGCCTTGAAGGTGCCTTTAAAGAGATAAGTCATCATAGCCCATCCTCTCATGGCAAGATAATTTCTAAGGGGACCTAGGCTGTCCACGGTTGCACCTGCCTTAGAAGTCAAGAAGAACTGGTTTTCTGGAGTCACTTCTCCAGGTACTTTACCTTTAGCCTGGGGATCATTTCCAACTGGTATAGCTATAGACCTTGGAACGCCATTCCTTGCATTCTGTGAATTCAAGAGAACGTGCATTTCATAACCCTCGATTCTGCTCAGCATCTCTCAGATCAAGGCACTATTGCTGAAGACCACCACTTACGCAACATTTGGGGTTTTCTTTCTTTCTTTTCTTTCTTACCCCAAATCCTTTCTGAGAAAGGCCCACAGCTTCTCCCCATCTGGAAGCAGCAGAAAGTCCAAAGTCCAGCTGCCAGGAAGGGCCTGGCCCTGAATTGGTCCATTTCTTCCCTGCCTTTCCCGCCTCCTCCTTCCAGCCCAGCCAAAGGAAGCCTTCTGCTTATTTTTTTTTTTGGTAAAAAGCCTCCGAGAAGAGCATTTGAACACCTATGTCAGCCACTCTAGACTTTTGCAGAGAGGCAGCTACCCTTCCAATTCTCCCTGCAAAGGTCTGTGGTCTTTCTTACAGGCTGACACCCACCCTCTGCTAACTCAGACCCTTTATCAAATGCTCTTCCCCACCAGGGAAGTCGGAAAGGTTTAGTACTGTACACTCTGGGGCAAATGTCTCCAGAATTAGCATTTCATTTTCTCCCTGTCCTCAGACCCATCATCTTCCTAAGTGCTAGGGCTAGGTCCGTAGTGGCTCTCCCAGAGAAAGCTCTGTGCCCTACCGGCTGCAACGATAAAACTGTGCTTGGGGAACTGGATTATGTTTGCCATGATGATCATCACTCCAGCCCCTAGAATGTTTGAAAAACAAAAATAAGCTTTGCAAGTTGCCTAAGTTCTGCAGAATCAGCAGGCCCCTGCTGGGACCAATCAAGAAGTGCCTTTGGAAGAGATACTGACTCATTCTTTCCAACGTGCTGATTGGCTGTGAGGGATGGGTGGGGCCAGTGCCTCTGCCTGGCTTCCCATAGGTGAATGGAAGTTAAGGTGGGCCTCCAGCTAGATTTTGTCCCGTGACAACTAGGAATGTCTTGGGGACTTTTATTTTTCTGCTCCGGAGACCCAGGCTCAAGGCAAATGATAAGTGGGAAATCAATTTGAAGGAAAGAAATTTGAACTAAGTTAAGGTGCCACGTCCTGGGAGAGAAACCCAGCCCTATCTGAAGTCTGCATCCTCCGATGACAAACTGAGGGGGCTTGATTTAAGGAAGGGGGGATACCAGGTTTTTTTTTTAAGGGACGAAGGGTACAGTGAGTACAGGTAGGAAGTGAAAGTGGTACTACTGCCCAAAACAATCCATCAGAGAAAGGAAAAATGATGGAGGGCAAAATGTACCCTTGGTATTTTTAACTTTTTCAAGCCTTTAAATGACTTCTTCAAGGCCAAACACCTGCAGCAGAGGTCTACTTCTGATTGATTAAGGGGGCTTTTGCTCAGCCCTAGAATGAAGTTACTCTATTACTAATCCAGCAAAGAGGGAACCCACTATGCCCCGGTTTACCATTCTTTCCCGGTTCCTTTTTGCTGGGCATAAAACAATGCTCACCAATCCTACCTAGAACAGGAGACAAGGAGCCCAGCTTTTTGTGCAAGCAGGGGCTGTAACTGCCCTCCTATTCTGCCCCCAAGACGAAACAGGACTCTTGGAAGCCGAGGGAGGCGTAAGAAGTCTTTCTGGACTGAGTGCGAGCATCGTTGAGGAGCAAAGGCAATTATTTGGCCGGCCAAGTGGGCTCCGAGGGGGACGAGAGCACACAAGGCCAGGATGGGCTTGCTGACGGGCCTTCTCCGAGCAAGGAAGCTGCTGCTGGTCATCTTGGTACCGCTTCTGCTGCTGCCTCTGCCCATGCTCCACTCCAGCAGCGTGAGTACCGGCCTGTCCCCTCCTGGGGCCAGCGGGTCAGGTGGAAGGTCACGGAGGGGAGGTGGGTGGAGGGAAAGGGGTGCTTATGCAGTTCCTCAACGTGCGTTTCTGTTGGTTTGAAGAAATGGAAGTTTTCCTGGGGGAGGAGGCTAAAGTACTTTCTCCCTAAAAACTGCCACTTTCACCCCTGGGTCTCATTCCCGGTTTCCCATCCAGGAATGAGATTAGAGGAGAGGCCACTGAGCTGGCTGATGTGTGTTACATAAATCAGCGGCCAGCCTTCCCTAGCCGCAGGGCCGGGCCCGCGGGCCGATAAGAAGAAGGACGCCCTGCCTCCGGTAGTTGTCAGGACTCCACATGTGACCATGTCTGTGAGGGCAGCTGCGGAGGCAGGAAGGGCCTCCCCTTGATGACAATGAGGAGACAATGGGGAAGGGAGGGGACTGGGGACACCAGGACTGGGCTGGGGTGGGGTGGGGTGTGACCCAGAGGGGCCTCTCTTGTGCCTCCGTGGGAGGGCCACCAGGCTCTGATAACCAGGATTTGAAAGTTCATCTCCCAAGTTCCCTCTGAACTTTGCATTGAAAGCAGAGCTCAGCATGGTGGCTGTCCCCGGTCCCCTGCATACCGCCCTTTCATTATCTGTATCCTCTGTGTTCTTGAAGGAGAGACGTCAATTGGCATGATTAAAAAAAAAAAGAAGCAAGAGCCCCCAACTCTAGATCATGACCTAATTTTTGACCGGGTTTGTGTAAGCAGAGAAGTCCCAGCTTTGGCTCTGCACTTGGCTTGCTTCTCAGACCATCACTTGCCTCCCTCCCTCCCTCGTTCTCTCCTCCTCCTCCCTCTCTTCCTCCCCCCCCCTTTCTTCTCTTCCTCCCCCTCTTCCTTCACCTTCCTCCCCTCAGTGGCTTTACCCCCACACACACACTACCCTTGAGACTTTAGGGAAAATAAACTAAGGGAGGTTAACGGTGTTTGTGGGAGGGAAGACGCCTTCCACACATCTCCGGAGTAACTTGGTAACCAAGATTAAGTTATCAAGTTAAATAGAGGGGATTAGGATGCTGCTGCTTAAAAACAAACTGCCTGAAATCTTTAGTAAAATAAATACCCCAGAGTGCCAGGGAGACGCTGATTAAAACCGGGCTGGGATTAGCAGACAGTGATGACTGCTGACAAGCTTCTTGGCCTGTACACTAGTCAATTTTCTGCTTTATCCAAATGAGCTGATTTTTTTTTTTTCTTTTCAGGGCTTGTTTTGTTTTGTTTTTTTCCTCTCAATACTAACTGGATTTCAGGGACTGCTAATAGGAGACTCACTGCCCTCTTCTCCATAGCAGTATCAGGCACCCCCATGACCTCCTAAATCAGCCCCATCTTTGGGGACCCTGACTCAAGAGTGCCATGTTCCCCACATTTCATTCTGGGACCCCGTCTCTGAGCTTCTTAGTGACCAATGACTAGTGAGACGCAGCCACAAAGATGAAAAAAACCACAAATTATTGAAATTGGCAAAATAATCTATAAATTGGAGGGGAAAGGGATGTGGTGGGGGAAAAAAAACGAGAGAGAAGGAAGCACAGGTGAGCCTATACTCTGTTTCTAGATTTCTGATTCTAGAAATCATTTCTGAAGAGATTGTTTTAAGCTGGACCTACAAAGACCAAGAAATAAGGCCCTTTCTTGACCTAACCCCTTCTTTCAGGCTGAGTTCCACCTCAGGACAGGGTTTCTCAAGAGCTGCACTAGAGACACTTGGGGCCAGATAATTCTTTGAGGTGGGGGGAGGGGTGTCCCACGCATTGTAGGATGCTTAGCAGCACCCCACTAGGTGCCAGTAGCACACATTGTCCCTGCCTCTCCCTCCACCCCCACCCCGGTGACAGCCAGCAATGCTTTCAGATATTACCAAATATCCCCAGGGGGCGCAAAATTGTCTCCAGGTAAGAACCAGTGCCTTAAGAAAATAGATATACGGTACCTCGGACCTTCCCAGTCAGTGCACATGGGTTAGTGGGGGGCAGATGTCTTGACCCCCGTATCGCTTGGGACAGCTAGATGGAGCCTGAGGTGGCTGGTGCCCTCAGCACTGGACACAGCCTGCTTGCCACCTGCCCCAGTGCGCCCTGCAAAGATGAGTTCTCTGTGTGTCACAGTGTCAACAAAAGCCCTGCTTGTCTTCCTCTACGATGATGTAAAAGCACCCTGAGGTGACCCGTGCTCGCAGTAGGCACAGACCAACACATTAGAATGTCTCTCCCCCATTCCTCCACCTTGCTTGAAACTTCTAGAGTCTTAAAAGTTTAAGATATTTAATCCTGGGAGTTCCTAAATGGACTTGTGTGCTCAGGGCTGGAGCTGAGAGAAGTCACCTGGGCAAAACCTCCTGGCCTTTAGTTCTGATGGTTCTTCAAAGTGACAAGCTACATTTTGGGAAGGGTTAGAATGACCTTCCCCCGTTTTTCCTGCCCAGCTCTCTAAAACCAGGGGCTCAGGCTCAGTTTACCATTTTACAGAAGAAGAGGGTACAAGAGTGGGTATCCACAGCTAAGCCCTGCTTCAGTGTCCCCGGGGAGATCAAAGTTACACCCAACTCTCAAGGTGAATTTTAAAACGGCTTCCCAGTCCTTTATAACAGCAATGTCAGAGACCGCAAGCCCCTTTCAGTGAAGCTTGGATGGGCTATCACTGGGCTGGCTGAACTCCATGGACAAGGAGAGCAGAGGCAAGCAGCCATTAGTAGCAGAGTCAAGAAACTTCTGATATAGGGAAAATGCTACTTTTGAACTCTCTCCCTTATTTGTAAACAGGAGCAGAAAAACAATTGACAAGACTATCCCTGAAAGGCAATGCCTGAATACTTACCAGCCCCTACACACCAGCTGAGCAGCGGCAGCGATAAGGGGCCTGGGATTCTCAGAATATTTTCTCCAGTAGGGTGAAAGACCTGTGGGCCAACAGAGGGGCCCACTTCAGTTCAATCAACATGGATCAGTTGACTGATCGATTGATCGACTGAGCTACCCGCCAGACACTGGCCAGATGGGGGGAACACAAGACCCCTGCAATCAAACGTCGTAGAATATGTTGGGGCGCCTAAATTCAAGCTTGCCTGTTGAATGTTGAGGAGGTTGAGAAGGGGCAAGGATATAAATTCCACAAGTGAACTGAGTGAGAAATATATGGAAAGACCCTCTGAAGGTAGCCTCTTGGTCTTTTTTCTGCTCTAAGGCAAGTCCAGATAATAACGATGGTAGTTTATCCCGCTCTTAATACTGCTGGACGAAGGTGGCTTGGCGACTTCCTCCAGTAACCTGCTTTAATTCTTAACAGTTACAATCAAAAAGTTTACCTTGGATTACCCAAATCCTCCTAATTCAAACCCAAACGGTGCCTGGTCCAAGGAAAGTTTCTGTCTCTCCTTCTCAGTCTGTCTGTCTGTCTCCCCTTCTCCCCTCCCTTAACTTGTGGCCTTGTTATGACCAGGACAAGAGAGACTGAAAGTCCTCGGAAAGGAATAAGCACTTCTCAGTGGGGACAGATATTCTGTCCCCTTTATCTTCCACTGGAGTTAAGACCTGCCTTCTGTCTCTGTCCCAGAAAATAGATGGGAATAAGTGGCCGCAAGTGGGCTAAAGGGCTTTGAACTCCTTTAGGTAGTTTTGTTTCCACAACAAAGGGTGTATTTCTCTAAATTGCATTCTTTTCCAAACGGAGCCTTTTTATTTTTCCACTATGGATTCTGTTGTCTTATCAGCACTTTCAAAAAATGTTAACTTCTCTCTGATCTTTTGGCCCCAGAGGAATTCTCAGTGGGACCTATGGTCAACAGCTGTCAGGGCCAGTTCCCACTTCCCAAGCCCTAAGCCCGTAATCCAGGCATATCAGGAGGGAGCAGGCCCCCTCCAGCCAAGCTGGGTTAATCACTGCCGATGCCCCTCACTGATCCCGGCGGCCCTTTGTAATTTTTATGCAACAGTGTGAGGACACTTGTTCTGAACCCAGGGGAGAGATAAACAG